GGACAAAACTGGCAGCCCGGCCAGAATGGGCATGAACAACAGGGCGGACCATGGCTGTTGGGTACCAAGTGGGGCATGACCGCATTGGAACCCTGTGAGCGGCTGGAGCCACCAGCGGCATGGTGCAGTGCATGGCCACTGGGACTTGCTGCCTCTGGTCCATGCTGTACTCGCCAGTGGGCAGCAGGCCAGCTCCAGCATGGATCTGTGGGCATGGGTGGCCATGGCTCTTGCCCCAGGACTCAGGGGTAGCACGTCCCTCTCCAGCTGCTGCTCCTGCTGTACCAGACGGGGATGGAGCCCACGGCTGTGGGGCAGGATGCGGGTCGGGGGCCTGGGCCTATGGCCCCAATGAATCTTAATCCACCCCTGTTTCTGCTGTCAGGATAACCTCCCAGCTCTTGGGTTATACTCCTGTGAGCTCCCAAGAGCCTCACTTGTGATCCAAGGCAGCACAGCAGTCCATCTAGTATTCACTTGTACCTCTCTTGACCAGGAGCTCCTACCCCTGCAGCTTGCTGGGCTAGACTGCCTTGCTAACTCAGGCCCTGGGCTGTATGCTTCCTAGGGCCTTGCCCCCTTTGGATCAGGAAACTAGACTACACTGGGCAGCCTGCAGGTGCCCGCTAATGGGTCTCATTGATGGGTTACTATGACAACCTGTAGCAGCTGTGCCCTGTCTGGCTGGGCTGCTTTTCTTTTACAGTAACGGAGAGTCCCAGCTCCCTGTTACACAGTGAAGAAAAAAGTTGCTAACGTGGATAAGATGTAGGCAGGATTCCTGGTGGGAGATTTTTTATTTGTAAAATCATAGTGTATTTATATCTTACAAATCATGGTAAAAAATGTCAAATCTAACTAAAAAATGCTCGAATTACAAATGCATTAGTGCTATCATGAAACATCATACACTAGAGTCAAAAATGAAAAGTCATGCAAGCAGAAACGAATCACCATATAATGAAAAGAAATGCCCGCAGATTTCTTTCTTCCCTTTACTGAAAGATGTATAAAGCAGACTTCCTGTATCCTGCATCTCAGAACAAACAGTAGGAACAGGCCTTGGAAACAACAACAACATGCAATTTCTTTAAAGCACAGTACAGATAATATTAGTCAAGCTTAGATGTTTGCCTGTATCTTTCAGTGATTCAACAGCACGTGAGGGGCTACTGCTGCTGTTGCTATTAGATGTCTTTAAAATTCAGTTCTCTGTAAAAGTTAAAGCTATCAGATGCAAATTTAAAGTTATCAGTAGGTTAGGATGCCTGGCAATTTCCATGGCAGACTCCTTTCCAGAAAAAGAAAGCCTTAATTAGCTGGACACCTTTCCCAGACCACTGGTCATTTTTATCAATTTAATGCAAAGTAGTTTATTAATTGCAGCACTATTGTTGCCATCCCCAGTAATAGTACAAAACTAAAAGGAAGATTCACATATAGCTCCAGGTTAGAAGGAATATGTGCTGACAAACATCAAAAGATAAATGTTTATCCAAGAGAGAATTACTGGGTTCTCTGGCCTGAAAACAGAAATCAGGACATCTTCCATCATATCTGACGACAGAATAACTGCAATAAACAAAGAACCTATGTATGTTTTTAAAAAAAAGACAAACCTTGAGAGCAGGATACATTTGGTTCTTTGGGCTTCAGCAGGATATTTCTTTGCTAGAGTGTTTAAAACCAGCAGTTTTCTTATAAAAATCAATTGCTGGAAATAAAAAATAAGTTTTGGAAAGAGTCACACCTCTCGTAATCCCTTGATTTGAGGATGATCTCTACCTCAGTGGCTCTTTGATGGGTTTTGAGGTGATTCAAGAAGTCATACCTCTAGTGTCAAATAATATGTAACGTCTTAGGGTATGGCTGAATCTATGATTAATTATATTTAAGATGCTTTCAACCCATTTTAAAGTAAATATAATCAAGATCTCAGTTCCTGCTTAGGAAAATGTTGTTTTGAACAGGAAATGAGTTTAAAAAAAAAGGAAAGCACGGAAAGGGGGGATTCACTGCTGCCATAAAACATTAGACAGGGAAAATAAGAGCATAAGCCACTTAAAGAGATGGAAACAAAAGACCCTGAGTCATAGGTAGAAAGGCTTCAGTGAGAACTAAGAGTGTGGGAGTAAAGGTTCCAGACCTGCAAGTGCTTCAACTCCAGAACTCCCACTGAATTTATCTGGTAATTCTGCATGCAGTGTACTCTCAAGAGATCATGAGCTCTGGTGGTTTTATGAGATGGAACTAGAGAAGAAAAGAAGATGGAAATTGGTATAAACAAACCTGCTGTTAACAGCTCACTCCAGGGAGTGAACAGAAAACTCCATCCATGTGATCCATCATGCTAACGGTGTAAGTAGAAATTCAGTGGTAAACTCTATTTCTGATACCCAGTCGAATAGATATTGGGCAACATAATCTATATGTTTCAGACTTTGAATTTATCTGTAGATTAGAACCATTATAATTATCATGACTTTCATTTCCCTTTGCAAAACTGATTGGGTGGAATAACACATCTGGAGCTTGTTGAAGCAGAATTATGTTAGACTTTAAATAATTTGAATACAAAAATTTACTGAGTTATTAACATATTCAAATCCAAAATTCTCTTAAGGTCTACACTGTGTCCTTCCTCTCCCCGCTGCTCCTGGCTCTTAAGGTCTATACCGAATATTTCTGTGGTGTTCCATCATATGTAAAATGCAAGTGATTTAGGCCTATTTTTATATCCAAAATTCTTCATTATGAAATTATTTCTTGTCACTGTTATGAATTGTGTACCTTTAAAATCATTTGCCACTGCATTATGTCAATTGTACAACACTGCTTGGATATCTTTGAAAATGCAATCAGATGAAAGACATTGGGTATGCTCTATACAAATATAGGAAATCTGAGTCAAGAGTATGTTAGTTCAAAAACAGAAAACACATATATACCATTAGTTATTCACAGTAACATTTTCCATTCCAAGACTTTGTCATCCTGAAAGTATAGCTTACTTTCATACATATACATACATACAACAGTTCCTATAAAATGAATTAATCCTGGGTATTCTGCAAGCATCACTTTCTGCTAATCCTCTCCCCAAATGACAGTCAGCAGAAGTACCTCCTACATATGCATGTAATTGGTGATCTCAGCATGATCTCTAGCTGATAAGAATTACTTCACCACTACAAAATAAAGGTAGTACCTAACATGAAGTGGTCAGCAACCTCAGTCATTACTCTCAGCAACAAGCATCAGGAACTGATTACAGAGCTCCAAAATGATTTACAAATCAGAATCATGGCCTGTTAAGCTCTTCAGCTTAATTTTGATGAAGACTGGCAACTACAGAAAAGTAATGTCAATAGATGGAAATTTTGGTCAGCATCTGACCGAACAGAAAGCTGTAATAATTGTAATGTATCCACAACAGCCATACAGTAGGCTAGCCTGTTGAAATAAATTGCATATGCATATTAATACTTCTGGTGATTAGGGATGAAGGTGAAGCAGGATCTGGGTGATGAGCCCTTAACCTAGGTACTAGTTTGATTTGCTGCTTTTAATACTGGGTTCTTGGGGGTTAAAAAGAAACTCCCAGATTTGGAGGAGACGTTTATGAATGGACACCGCAAGAATTTGTCCTGTTAATGTCTGAAAGGCGAGGATTTCGTAGGACCAACCAATAAAAGATACCCTAAGAAATCCTCACCTCTTGCATGATTTCTGGACCATCACAGCTGGAACATTACTCTTACCCTATTATTGTGTTAATACCCAAATTGGAAGGGGATCTATTAGAACACACTATTAGTCTGGAATATTGTAAAATGAATTTGTAGGCTCCCAGCCTCTTTTGACAACCCTCACCTCACTGGATTATGGACTCAAAAGTTGGATCCTGTATCTTCTAAGGACTCTTCTGAGCTCCTGGGAAGGTTGGCTCTCCTTGCTGGTTCAATCAGCAAGAGAGAGGCAAGCTCTCCATGGGGGAGGATTCAGGACTGTAGGTTGTAGCCGTGTTGGTCTAAGGACATAGGCAGATAAGGTTCTTTGGGTAAATCCGATATCTTTTATTAGACCAACTCAAATAGTTGGAAAAATTCTTTAGCAAGCTTTCAGGCACAAACATCCTTTGTCAGGCTGAGGAAGTGTGATAAGTGTGTTTGTAGCCAAAACTTTAAGAAGAAGAATTTTTCCAACTATTTGAGTTGGTCTAATAAAAGATATCGGATTAACCCAAACTCAAATACTTGGGAAAATTCTTCTTAACAAGCTTTTGGGTGCAAACACCCTTACTTCCTCAGCCTGACAATGACAAAGGGTGTTTGCGCCCAAAAGCTTGCTAAGAAGAAGTTTTCAACTATTTGAGTTGGTCTAATAAAAGATATTGGATTTACCCTAAGAACCTCATCTGCCATGGGGGGATTTACACTCTGTAGAATTTAATACATTAAATATGGGCGAGTGACAGCTTGCTGAGCTGGGGTACTGCAGGGAAAGGCTTTACAGGGATTGCCTGCTGGTTACAGAGATTGTAGCAGCAATTGTAAAGTCAGCAGCAGCTCATCTAAAACCTAGAGAAGAGTAAAACAGGGAGTCCTGTAAAGCCGGTGTCTCTGGAGCCGGCCGTGCCTGGGGCAGCGGCCTGCTGCCAGCCCGGGGCAATTTGCAGGGCAGCGCATCCTCCAAGCAGAGATCCCAGCAGCCTACCAAGTGAAGCACTGAGAACCGCTGTTACCAGGCCACCTTGTCCGCTAGCGATTCGAGGCCCGACCCCTCTTCTCTTAATAAAGCCGATGACACAGAAGGGTTTCAAAACAAAACGGGAAGCTACAGCCGGACGGACCCCTAGAAACGCTACCCTTCCCCTTCCACGCCCGCCCGCCCGCGCCACTCTCCTGCTCCCTATTCTCCGCGTCCCTTCCCGTCACGTCCCCGGTCTGCCAGTGCACTTTGGTTTCCTTCGCCGCCCGCGCCGCCTTTAGCAGCTCAACCCTGCGGCGGCGCCGCCATTTTCTCAGCCGAGTGCGGGGCGGCGGGACGCTCCCGGTACGTTACGTGACGTTGCGTTCCCCAGCAACCGCTCCCTGCGTGTGGAGCGTCTCTGGGGCACCTTGCGGCCTCTGCGGTGCGGGTGCGTGGCCGCGGGCCGGCCTGGCAGTTCAGGCCGGCGCCCGGGTTGGGGCAGGAAGGGAGCTGGGGAGCAGCCACGGGCCGCGGAGGTCGGAGCCCGGCTGGGCCGGCGTGTGTTGCTTATGCTGAAAGATGCAGCCTCCCTCCCCAGCCGTAGAGGATCACAGGGCTGGGAGGAAACTGAGCATCATTGCCGGGTCTTAAATCTCAAACGATTGCATTCGAACCTCGAAATCCTCTTATTTGTTGAAAAAAAACTATCATACGCTAGAAATTATGCAGATCAATATGTAAATAAGAATGCAAATTAGCCTTCTTATTTAGTTTCTATTGCTCACTGTAAGGGTCAGTGAGAGAGAACCGGGTCATCCAAGTTGAAGCATTTATTTTGAGGCAAGCACTCACAAGAAATTGCTGGCAGCAAAATACCTGGCAGGGGAAATGACATGTGTCTGGGTTCACGAAGGCAGATTTCTTTAAGCATTCCTGGGGATAACTGCTGGTGTGGTTTAGTATCCGCCGAGGTGTTGGGGCTTAAGTTGGCTTTATGGAAACGGGAAGCGCCTCCCTAGCTTGCTTCTGCAGCCCTATGGCTGAGGGCAAGTGAAACTTGGGGGCATCTGAACCCCAAGTCTCTGGGCTTCGGCATGCACATAGGATGCCGGCCAAAAGATGTTGGAAACATCTGGAACCCCTGGTGGGGATAGAAGATGTTTGTCAGTGGTAGGGCCATTTATGGTTCTGGACTGACTCATGGATTTGGACTAGATTTAGCTTGGAACATGAAAAATTTCTTGGGAAAAAAAAAAAGTTGGCTCAGATTGAGTATCTTGGCCTCTTGTGGGCTAAGATCAAGTGGGGGCATCCGAATCCCAAGATTTCCGGGCTTGGGCCTGCTCGTAGGAACCCCGCCAAATGATTTGGAAACATCTGAGCCCCAGGTGGGGGTGGAGGGTGGTGGAATTTTGCCGGTAGTAGGGCCATATAGGGTTCTTGAATGACTCACAGATTTGGAATTGATTTGGCTTGGAACGTGAAACATTTTCCATAATAATAATAAAGTCTGGCCTTTTGGCTCAGATCAAGTGTAGACCAGATTGGCTTCTCGGCTTTGTGTGGGCTAAGATTAAGTGTGAGGGCAACTGAATCCCAAGACCTCCAGGGCTTGGGTCTGCATGTAGGATGCCTGCCAATGGATTTGGGAGTATCTGAAGTTCCGGGGTGAGAGCCTGGGATGGAAGATGCTGACTGGTTGTAGGTCGTACATGGTGTTTGGAATGATTGAATTCTGCCTGCTTAATTGATAGGATTTGGAACTGATTTGACCTAGAACATGTAATATATTAATAAAAAAAACCAAACAACCCAAAAGTTGTTTAAGACCCCCTGAGAGTGACTTGGGTTTTACAAATGCTGTATCAATTTACTGCCTCAAAATTATTGTTCATTTTGAATACTTTTACCATTATTGATTGTACATTGTACAATGGTTGAAATTATTGTACAAATACAATAATTATCATATACCTGGCAACACGGGAACTGAAATGCAATGTCCATGAGGCCCAAGATATCCTAGCTGAAATCACTTGGTTTTCATCTGAAATGCCTTGGGGCTTACATGTAATTTTAGGTCTCTTGGAAGAAAACATCATGTTTTTGTCAAAACACAGACGCTGTTTATGAAAAAAGTGGCTGACTTGAAAAGATTTTCAAGCTAAAGGACAGAGTATTCTATCCATGTCATTATGCTGTATAGCATTACTTACCGTTGACAGCACACATCTGTTGTATATGTTTCCTTAATAATTAATATGGCTTTAAAGGGATTTTATAGAGGAGGAATTGGTTTAAATGCCAGTAAAGAATTAATATTCAGAGGTTTTGTTTCCATTTCTGTTGCTGATTCACTGTGTGGTTGACCTTCACAACCTCGTTTAAACTATTTGTGCAGACATTTTTCTGATTGTATAGAATTAGGGCAAAGAGTCCTTTATCTGATGTCTATATTGTAAGATTTACTTAAACTGCTTTGAGGTGTGTAAGCATAAGGTTCTGCATATGCACTGGATATTTTTTTATAGTAAGAGAATAATATATTGTAAATAAAATGTAGGTAGGCATACAAAAATATTAATTTTGAAAACATATCAGTTTGCTTTGCATACAGGCATACAGACTGTCTGACTTTTGAAACAAAATGCCAAAGCAGAAATTTTAAGAGATCATGGAGTGAAGTCAAGCACTAGATAACTAGAAAGTTCAGAGTACCAGAATTTTAGATAGTGCATGCAAACTTAAGTCTTCTGCAAGCACTAGATCAGTGGTCTCCAAAGTGGGGTGCGGAAGACGATCCATTGGGGTGTGGGAAGAAAATATTAGAACTTCTATTTATATTTATATTTATATAAATATACATATACATATATTGGGGGTGCATGCTCAAAAATTTTTACTGATAGGGGTGCGTGATCAAAAAAGTTTGGAATGCCAGAAATCAGGTAACTCATTCGGTCTTGTTCCTTGTGGATAGGTAACACAAGACTGTCTATAACTGATTTTACACAAATTTCAAGTCTTTGCTGTAGAGCTTAGTGATGTTTCAGCTTCTTAAGAAATTATATTGATTTTTAAGCAGATTATAAGCAAAACAACTCATGTTTCTGTAACCCCAGTTTTGGAAGCAACTAAACTTTCCAAAAAAGTCAACTTGAGGCACACAATCAGAATGCAAAATGTCATTGCATTTGTTAAAACTTTGGCAAAGTAATAACCAATTGAAACAATGTCTACTAATGGAAATGTTAGGTAATGTTACACATTAGGTAAAATCATATATTGGCTATAATTATTTTTAACATGATCCTTATTTTTAAATATAGTTTTGCATGTTAATAGTGTTTTTAAAACCTGTAAGTTCATATGTATTTTTGTATTCAACTAGCCCAATAGGGTGAATAAAATCTAGGCAAAGTTTTTTCACATAAATTATTTTCAGTTTTACATTCCAATATTATAAAAGCCTAAGTCTGTCTGTCTGTCTGTCGTGCTTTATTCACGCTCTGATCAGAATGCGAATAAGTGTTTGAACAGGAGCTGGTGGCGGTGGAGCGCTGCCATGATGGCAGGGACACGGGATTGGGGGCAAGGCCTTGCCCGCTCTCCTCCCCGGCTCCCTGCAGGTGAGGGCAACGGAGCGGATGGAACAGGGGGAGCCCTTGCATGAGATGCTTACAGGGAAGGGGGGTGGGATGGGCCTAAATACTAGGGGTGCACCAATAAAGATTTTTTTGTCCGATACCAATGGCTGATTATTAACCAGCCATATTGGCTGATACTGATCCGATTGTCAATATGCATCCTGGCAGCTTGGAGACCAGCATCTGGCCGGTAACTCTGTAGGGAGGAATGGGGTGTGGTGGGGGCAGGTTGCCTGCTGTACCCCACCACTGCCTGGCACCCCACCCCCAGCTGCCCTGAGTGCAGCCTTGGCCCAACCCCCGCTCCAGGAAGGGGCTGGCGCAGCCCCCAACCTTGCAGGCAGGCCTGCCCTCGCTCTGTGCACAAATATGGGGGGTATGTGCCCCCATTCCTCCCCCGGGGGCATGCACAGCGGTGGGAGCTGCCCACCTCTGTGTACCTGGACAAGCCGCCTATACCCTGCCCCCCGGCCCGGCTGGGCATTGCCTTACCTAGCCCCAGCCTCGCTCCCTCATGATGAGGGCCTCGATTTACACCCTGCCATGCCTCTTCCCTCCACAGACTTATCAGCAGGAGGCTGCTCTCCAAGCTGCCAGGCTGCATTACTGGCTATACACATGCATGTTGCATTTATCCATGACATTGTGAGCCAGGTTGGCCAAAAAAAGCCAATTGCCAATAACGTTGTTTTTTCTTTTATCGGTGCTGATATGATATGGACCAATATATCGGTGCACCTCTAGTAAATACTCAGCACCTGAAGTTTAGGCTGCTGCAGAAGTCCTGCTAGCCCAAAGTTAGCTTGAATACATCTTCTCTAGTTTTAGTCTTTGCATATTTGGATTACAGTTTAAGTATACCCACAGGGATAGAAGGATGGTAATAAGGATGAAGGTGCCAAATGAGGTGAGAAGTGTCAGATTCCTAGTAGGCAATTTGGTCTGAATGTGATTAGGTAATGGGAATGCAGATAATAGGGTGTCATGCTGTTTGAAATAAGAATCAGTTCCATGTTCAAGGTGGAAAGTTTAGTACTGTGTATCCAGATGACATCACAAGGTTATTGGACATAAATATTTTCAATTCTGGTGTTATAGAAAGGCAAAGAACTGTCAAGTGTATTGGCCCCTAAGGCTTTTAGTACTGCATTCTGAGTTAAAGCAACTCTTAACTAACTCTTGGGTACATGGGATATGATGAGTCAGTGTCTTGCCATTTAGTTATTTTTCTTGGTTACGCTATTACCGCTAAGACATAATGCACTTTTAATAATTACAATTTTTTTCTTCACAGACTACAGAACAATGTTTGTGCCAAGGTCTCTCAAAGTCAAGAGGAATGCTGACAATGACAAAAGCTGCACTGCTAAGAAAAATAAGTCCTTGTCTGGAGAACCCTCCTTAGAGGAGGTTACAGACTTTAGTGATGTTAAGTCAGCTATTAAAGAAACTTCTGCTTCTGGACATCATTTATGTAAAACAGTAGAAGAATGCGCAAAGCCACATACTTCTCCATGTTCAGACTTTCACCTGGCTGATACATCTTTGGGAGGAGACAACCAAAATGCTGATGGAGATGGCTCTAATGTGGAAGAACCCATAAAATCTTTTAGCAAATCTCAGCGTTGGGCAGAACCTGGAGAACCTATATGTATCATTTGTGGTCGGTATGGGGAATATATCTGTGATAAAACAGATGAAGATGTTTGTAGCTTGGAATGCAAAGCCAAACACCTTTTGCATGTTAAGGAAAAAGAAGAATGGCTAAAATCTGATGGGGTTATGAAACCTGAATCTCAAAAAGAAACTTTGCTTGACATCCCTTATGTCTATAAAGAACATCCCTTTATTTTAAGTCTACAAGAGGACCAAATTGAGAACCTTAAATTGCAGTTAGGTATTGCTGTTCAGGGTCAAGGCGTCCCAAGACCTATTATAGAGTTTGAACACTGTGGTTTTCCTAAAATTTTAAACTATAATTTAAAGAATTCAGGTTATGAAGTTCCAACCCCTATCCAGATGCAGATGATTCCTGTTGGACTGTCGGGAAGGGATATTGTGGCCAGTGCAGACACAGGATCAGGAAAAACAGCGGCCTTCCTGCTTCCAGTTATTATTAAAGCTTTGGAAGAGGTAATGAAAGTTTAGGTATATTTTCAGAAGAAATTGGCAAAGTATAATGACTCCAGAGCCCTCAACGTAATTTACAAACTGCAGCAATCTCTAGTGAAGCTCATTGGTTTATTTTGCATTTTAAAGGGTCTTTATATTTCTAATTAACATTTTCTAGTTTAGTGGACAGGAAATATAATTTGTTCACTGGCATTAGCAGATACATAGTTTTCTTTTGTTCTTAGAAGTAACTTTCTGAAAGTACATTTATGATATTTTTCCTAACTATTTTTTCAACCTTTTGGGTACTTTGTAATTGCAGCTGATATCCCATCATTCATTGTTCAGTGCCATCATATATGTGGGGGTGGTAAAGAGGTTTCTGGCATTCATTCAGCTTCACAGTTTAATCTTCCTGAGATATCTTAAGACAGCAGCTAGATGACTTCAGGGAATAAGATATTTTTAAACATTTGAAACACATTTCTGTGCTTATTGCTTCCTACACCCTCACTGGTGGGAGGTGGTCAGTATGTGTAGCTCAGTATGCATTTCAGTAGTTTTCCTTTTTGCTTGAGTATTAATCTTGGGCATTACCATACAAGATAAGTTAAAATAGACTAACCGACTGTTTAATGTTTCATAACTGAATAATGTTTCATATTGCAGATCTTGAAGTACTGGGTGATCTTTCATACAATTATATGCCTCAGCTCCAATAAATTTTCAATGTAGATTATTCTTTGAACACTAATATTTTTATAGCTTTAAATTCACCTGTCTATAACCAGATTTTTTGTTTTTCTTTAACATACTATGACATACATATAGCCCAATGACTTTGCTTATGCCTTCTGAGAAACTTTAGTTTACTTGTCATTGTGCTATTAGGATAGTAACTATTGGCCATTATGGGTGAGAGTGGAATGGAAGCAGAATAGTTTTTCAAGTACTGCTGGCAGTTCTGGGTTGGACAGTTCCTAATGCACCAGAATCTTACTAGAATTTTCCTTCAAATGGGAGAAGATACTGAGTGTTTTAACCATATGTTTGCATAAGCCTAGAAATTATTTTTGGGGCTGTAAAGGGGAAGAATTAAGCTTGGTAAGTCATTGACTATGCCAGTACAATGTCTTCTCTCCCAGCTACCTTTTATTGTCATCAGTGACGATCCTTCATGATTGAGGATTATCACTCTCATGGGTCAAGTAAAGGGTTGTAAATGAGTCCATTGATGGCTAAAAAGGCCGATTTTTAGAGCCACAGACTCTCTGGCAAATACCACAGGTGGTGGTTAAAGGGAGGGTCGGACCATGGATTTCTCAGTCTTGTTTCCTTTTCTTCTGTTTCTGTTATTTCTCTGCCTCCAGGGAGAGATGGTTTTTCTCAAAGTAAGATGTACCCTCTCTCACAAGGCATCGCCATGTAGCCCTGTCCCAGGCTATTTTTTTCCCAAGTTGTGGTATCAATGCCACACTTCTTAATGTTTGCCTTGATGGTGTCCTTGAAGTGTTTTCTCTGGCCTCTGCATGTCCTTTGTCCTTGGATGAATGGGGAGTATAGCAGTTGTTTTGGTAACTGTGCATCAAGCATGTTCATGCAGTGCCTTGTCCACTGCAGCTGATGTTGAATAATCAATGCTTCCATACTAGTGGTAGTATCGATGAGACACTGGCATTTGTGCGACAGTCTTCTGTATGTGCACCAACAGCGCAGTCATTGGCATACTGAAGCTCCACAATTGAAGCTGAAGTAACTTTGGTTTTGGCATGGAGGTGGGAGATTGAAAAGGTTCCCATCCATCCTGTACTCCATGCCATATGGAAGATGGTCATGGATGAGCATCTTTGACTGCAAGAAAGTTCGAAAACAAAAGTGGGCAATCATGCAGCCCTGCTTGATGCGAGTTCCAGTTGCAAAGGGCTCCGTAGTGGAGCAGCTGTATAAGGTGGAAACAGTCACGTGGTCATGAAGGAGTATTAAGATGGTGATAAATTTCCCTGGGCAGCCAAGCTTTGATTAGCTCGTCCATAGAGCCACATGGTTAACAGAATCAAAGGCTTTGGTCAAATCAGTAACGGACATATACAGTTCCTGGTGTTGTTCTTGTCATTTTTCCTGGATCTGCCGGGCTGCAAAATCATGTCCATGGTGCCTCTTGGTGGCCTGAAGCTGCAGAGAGATGCAGGAAGGATTTCTGCAGCAAGAGGGAGCAGTTGGTTAAGCAGAATTTGAGTGAGGCTCTTCCCAGTGATGGAGAGACGGGCGATACCTTGATAGCTTTCACAGACAGACTTATCTCCCTTTTTAAAAATAATGACAACATTGGCATTCCTTAGGTCAGCAGGAGTTTCCTGAGTGTTCCAGATTGTATGTGGAGCTTGTTGGTCATAGTTTCCCCACCAACTTTGAAGATCTTTTGTTTTTCGTCATGTTTTAGTGCCTGGTGGATTCTTCAGAGGTTGGTGGACTGGCAAGTGCTTCCCTTATTAGATGCTATGGGATAGATGTGTTTTCAATTTGGGAGCTTTTGGTAGTGCTCCTTTCAGCAGTTTTTTATGGATTCATTGTCTCTGAGGAGTGTACTGCTTTCTTCAGTTTTAAGTGAGGTGAGTCGGCTAGAGCTTGGTCTGTACGCAGCCTTGATTGCCCTTATTAAGCTCTGCATGTCGTGATTGTCAATACATTGTAGGATTTCTTTCACCTTTTCTTCCCACCATTTTTTAATTTTATTTCTTGAATCATCCTCAGGGCTTCAGCTTTAAGCTGTCAAAAAATTCCCTGCTTCTGACTGGGTGTAGGATGGTTTTGCCTGTCACAGAAAGCTTTTCTCTTCAGGTTGAGAAGGTCTTTGAACTCAGCATTGTTTTCATCAAACTAGTCCTGATGGCATTGGATGATAAAGCCAATTGATTCCGTGTAAGCCTCATACATGGTCTCTTTTAGAACTTGCCAATCTTCCTTAACACAAGTGTTATCATTTTCAGTCCTAAGATTGGTGAGCTTCTTTCTAAGATTTGTTTGGAAGGCTTTGTGGTGTCTATGTATCTGAAGGCATTTGATGTTGTACTCTCTTTGGACTGATTTGGGTTTCTTTTAATGTTTCAGTGCAACCCTAGTGGACATGTTTCATCTCACTAAGCAATGATCGGTCTGGCAGTCATTGTCTCCTCTCATAACACGTGTGATATGAACGTTTTTTACATCACATGCTCTTTTGATGACTTAGTTGAGGAGATGCCATCTTTTCGAGCTGGGGTGTTGCCGTGTTGTTTTGTACCTGTCACGTTGTCTGAAGATAGTGTTAGTAGTGATAAGGGTCATGCTCTGCACATTTACTGACTAAGAGGATGCCATTGGAATTAGCCTTGCCCACTTCTTCCTTCTCAGTGGTTCTCTTCCACATGCTAAAGTCTTGGCCAATTCTCGTATTGAAATCTCCAAGGAGGAGGATCTTATTCTCTTTTGGGATGATAGTCAGGATTTCATCAAGGTTAGTGTAAAACTGTTCTTTCTGTTCTTCCTCAGCATTGAGCATTGTGGCACATGCAAGGATGATAATAACAAATGAATTGTTGGTCAGTTGAAGGTGGAGAATCATAAGCCAAATTCCCTGTTAATACCATCAGGGAATTTGGTCATTCAGCTAACAATCTGGTTCTTAATGGTGAAACCAGTGTTGTGTATTCACCTGTTGTTTGCAGGTTTCCCTTTGCAAAAGAACATATAGCCACCCCATCCTCCCTCAGATGGCCTTCATCTGCACGTCTGGTTTTGCTGAGAGCAATGATATCGATGCTGTATCGTGAGAGTTCTTGGGCGACAGCAACTGTTCTGTGTCCAGGTCTGTCACTGCTTGGGTTGTCTAGTAGAATTCATACGTTCCAGGATGCAAATGACATTTTTGTATTTTTACTTCAATTTGAGTGATTCCCCTGGAAGCGGCTATCCAGGTGGGTAAGATAAAGTGGGACCACCTATGTTTGGGGCACCTTTTTTTAGCTCCCTCCCCATGTGGGGTGAGCAGAGGGGATCCTAAAAAGGACTGCTGAGTCATGATCACAGCTGCGAAGTCACCCTCCTGTCCCATTCCAAGGGTGAATCAACCAACATGCGACTGCTGTGTGTATGTGGATCTATAACTAGGAACACCCAGCAATCGTTTCATCTGTCCCTGTTGCCACTCGTCCATCACTGCAGGACTTTGTAGAGGTTATGGGTATTAGTAATTGGTTATTGTGGTACATGATGGATCCAGTGGGAGAAGCCTGCATGTGATTTGCTTACTGCGCTTTGGCAACCACACGGATCTTGATGGTGGAGAAACCTGTGTCCAGTGGCAAGGAGATCCAAGACTGGGGTTACTTTTCCACTGCAGCTTTCATCTACCTCATAGCCATTGAGAAGCATGCCCTTTTCATCCACCTGCTCTACTGCTGAGGTCTTTGTTGTGTTGGACTGCTCTTCCTGCCCCATGGACTGCCACCTTGACAGAGTGGAGAGGCTTGCATGCATTGATGACCCTAAGAGCAACACTGTCAGGAGTTTTGTACTCCTAGCAGGGTCACTCATGGTGGTAAGGTCAAAGGTGAGGTATCAGATGAAGAGCAACCTTTTATAGGCATATTGCAACACACTCTATGGCTATTGTAGCCCTGAAGTTAGGAGTAGCCATGGAATGGCTGTTGTTTTGTCCTGGGCCTCTTGAGGGTAAAGCAAAGGGGTGATGACAGTATAAGTTTACATGGATTAATAAAGACTCCTGTTTTTTTTTTTAATGGTAAGCAGTATTTTGAATAAACACGACAGTCTACCAAGTAAAATAGATTTTTCTTTTTGTAAATAGTCTGCTCCTGGTAATGTTGGGGAAAACAAGCTAGATAAATATTATTTTTAGAATTAGACAATTGTAGACATTCTTATTTTACAGCTGTATTATTTATACTGTAAAATAAATGAAATTACAGTTCAGCATGTTGTCATACTCGTGCAAATAGTAATCAAGATAATTCTGGTTGGTTAATTCCTGGTTCTGTTATCTGTTGATGTTGGAGAAAAATAATGATACATCTAAGAGTGTTGTTTTCTCGTGTTAATTCCTGGGCTGCCATCTTTCTTTGGTATATACTTCAAAATTAAGGAAAGCAATTAAAGGAAGATCTGAATTAGAAGCATGTGAAAGTGAAAGGTTTAAATGGTAAAAATAAAGATAAACCATGTAGGTGACACAATCTGTTTTGATGTTTTATTAAAATGTAAATTCTGGGTCTTATTTTCACTGACATTAAGGGATTGCTATACCATTGGGCAGTGTAAAGTAGTTCTGAACTGAGCAAAAATTGCTTTATACCAGGGGTGGGCAAAATGCAGCCCAGGGCTGGATGTGGCCCGCCAAGCCATTCTATCTGGCCTGCGGGGACCCTAAAAAAATTAGAAAATTAATATTAATCTGCCCTGGGCTGCCTGTCATGCGGCCCTCAATGGCTTGCCAAAACTCAGTAAGCGGCCCTCCGTCCAAAATAACTGCCTGTCCCTGCTTTATACTGATGGTCAGAGCTGGTTAAATTGGACTTAGTGAATGAGAATTATATCTCTTTTAGATTAATATTGGGGTTGTTTTATTTTCTTTTAACTAGTTTGCTTTAGGCTGTATTCAGCAACGTACTGAAGCACATGCATAACTAAGCATCTGAGCTGTACCACTGAAGTCAGTGGGCCTCTTTACAAAGGCCTTGGGGTGGTGGTGGGGCACTTTAATTAGAGTGGCTCTTGGGAGCTGCTCTAATAAAAGAACCTGCAGTGTCTTGTGTATTCAGTGTCCCATGCTTCAAAATTGCGGCGGAGGTGCTTTAATTAAAGCTCGTTTGACAACCTGTAGTTAAAGTGACCCCACCACCATTTTGAAGCATGGGGGTGCTGAATACATGTGATGCTGAGGCTGCTGGAGTGTTTAACTGAGTCTGCTCCAACGTGTTGGGCATGTGGATAGGTACCGAAAAAGACTGCCTTAAAGTAACTAATGTTCTTCTAATTGGGGCCTCAGCTGTCCACTTCCTCCACTGACATTACTGATACTGTTGTACAATTTTCAGTTTCAAAACACCTTACAAAATAACACTTACGTCAGGAAGGGAGATATGTTTGATTATTTTTATTTTAAGCAAAGAGGAAAGTGAGGTGAAAGGTTAAATAATTTGCCCAGAGGCACAGAGGGATGTGGGTGTTAGGGATGAGAGAAAATTCAAGTCACATGCTTAGATAATACTTCTCTTCTTTTTTTTGTTTTACATTTTCAAGCCAGAAGCATGAACCGTTTTTTTACTTTTGCAGTACATAATTCAGTGCATTACTAAATACTCAGTGATAGTTGCCCACAGCTGAAAATGTCCACGTTTTAAGACCCATTATCAATTGCTGTCCACTGGTATAAGCTGTTCCACATATTCTATAACTTCTTGATAAATTAAAACAACACTGTGACAATGCAAGCACAGTTGCATTTAGTTTTGTTTGTAGAGGCTGAATGTTTTGGGGATAGATTTCTTCACTAGGTAGAATTACAGCTGCAACCCCTGACTCTCTATTCTGTCTGTGAAAGGATGATGTCACTAGCTATATAACTGTATTCACTATAAGGAGATTTGTGTTGAGAGGTTTTTGCCTAAGAAAGAAATAATTCTATCTTGGACAGAAGCATTCTTTGTCTTTTAGATTAAAACACCATCTGCACTTATTCTGACACCTACAAGAGAGCTAGCAATTCAGATAGAGAAACAAACCAAGGAGCTGATGACAGGTCTGCCAAACATGAGGACAGTTCTCTTGGTTGGAGGTTTACCGTTACCGCCCCAGCTTCATCGCCTTAAACAAAGTGTTAAGGTAAGAACTGTTATATGAAGGAGTCTTGTGAAGAATGCTCTTTTTAAGTTGTGCACAGAATGTGAAAACTATCTGAAGACTCAGTCTTTGACTTAAATGAGAAGTGCATATTTTACACAGTGAATCTAATCTCTTACAAGTAAAGATTAGCTCTTGATTATTTATAGAATATTCAATTCTTTATAAATGAAAATAATTTTATGTACCTGTTTTGAATGTTACACATCGGGGAAACACACTTTTGAAATCAGGGAAACAAGCTTTTGAAATCTAGAAATATATTTATGTATTTTGCAGCTTTCAAAGAGTAACATTTTCTGTTTTCTTAAATGAAGAAATATAATTTACAGTAGAAAGCACATTAGTTCCTTGACTGAAGGATATGTTCTTTTTCTGGCACAGCACACAGGCATTAATAAATTCTGTTAGAGGACTAAAGATTTAATTGACTTTCAGATGTACACAATTTTGGAGAATCATGTACTTGAAACTCTGGAGTTTCAGTTCTTTTTTGCCTTGACACTTGAATTAAAAAAATGTTTATGATTATATTAATGTGCTGTCCTTCACTAACTTGCCCATAATAGTCATTTGTCCATGATAATAATGGTTTACATCTTGAAATTGTATCCTCAGATGCTTGTGTATGTTAATGTAAAATATGGTAGTATATTTTCAAAGATGTCATATAAATTGCACACAATTTTTAACTGACGTTAACTTAATTTTTCTAATGTTATGTTGCTTTCTTCTTTTAGGTTATAATAGCAACACCTGGAAGACTCTTAGATATTTTAAAACAAAGCTGTGTTCAGCTCCATGATATAAAAATCGTAGTTGTGGATGAAGTAAGTTTAGATGCATTTAAATACTGAAATTGGAAGCAAATGTTATCAAAATCTCATGAGAAGTGGCAATTATTAAAGCATTCTTAGTAGTACAGTTATATAGTAGCACTTAAAAATACAGGCCCTGATGCAGTAAAGCACTTAAGCAAGTGCTTAACTTAAATATGTGTAGATCCAGTGACTTCATATGACTGTGCCATGTGCTTGATGTTTAGCATGTAGTTTAGTGATTTTCTGGATCATGGACATAATACCTTTATAAGTAGTTTAAGTGGGGGTGCTTGATTAACTCCATTAAATATGCAAAATATTTATTTCCAGTATTAAAAAGTAAATGTATTATGTAAGAGATACCTGACTGACACACACTGAAGGCTGTAGTTAGTGTCCGTTACTGATTGCTGGAGCAAAGGCTCTGCCATGGTGCCACATCAGCATGAACAGGTCCAGTGATCGTCTGTGTCTCTTCTTGGCTGTCTTCTGACTCCCCAGAAAGAGAGCTCATATTAGTGAGATGACAGGGTCAGCACACTAATTGTTTTCTGGCAGTTAAGGGTGCTCTTTGTTTACTTAAAGATTTTTAGGAACAATCACGCTGTCATAAATTAATATCTTTATTTAGGCTGATACCATGTTAAAGATGGGTTTCCAGCAACAGGTGCTGGATATTCTGGAAAACACCTCCACTGATCGCCAGACCATACTGGTTTCAGCCACAATTCCAGTAGGTATTGAGCAGTTGGCAAATCAGCTTCTTCAGCATCCTGTAAGAATAACTGTTGGAGAAAAGAACCTGCCATGTGCCAATGTTCGTCAGATTATCTTGTGGGTAGAAGAACCATCTAAGAAGAAAAAACTATTTGAAATATTAAATGTAAGTATAGAATTTGGATTTTGTAAATATTACTTTGTAAATTATTATTATTGTTCTTGTTGTGTATAACAATTTAGATGGTTTTAAGTTAAGTCTTGCCTATTTAATTCAAGTGGATGTTTGTGAATGAGAGAGGAGGGGGGTGACATACAGCAGGTATCAGTCCCACTGAGTGTAGAAATGTTTCTAATATGGTGCCTATTAAAACAAAAAGGCAGGAGTACTTTGTCATTTTAAATGCCATTTGAAAGATTGTAGAGGAGCCTTAACTTACTTCTTTTGGCCACAGTCTAATGAAACTTTTCCAAAAAATCCAAGAAAAATCCCTGTGGACCTTAATCCTTTCACTATTTCAGGCTTTTCCCTTGAACTGTAGAACTGTTTTATTTTTTTTTTTAATGTCACAAATACTTTTGTATTTAAAATGCAATTTATTTAATTATGAAAATATTGCCTATTAATTTACAAACAGTTGCTCCTGTGTGTATCTTGACGCATACATGTTCACAGGATTATGGCATAAGTCTTGTTCTTACTTGGAATTTAGAAATCCATTTTTATGTAAATATGCTGCTTTATGTAAGTGTGCTTCTTGCAATATAATGTATCAAATATTAGAGTGAATGAATAACTAGAAATTAATAGTTGCTGTTGACCAGTAACAAATTGTAATTAAAGTAGTTTTATTAAATGTATTCTAATTTTACAGGATCAGAAACTCTTCAAGCCTCCAGTGTTGGTATTTGTAGACTGCAAGTTAGGAGCAGATCTGCTGAGTGATGCTGTTCATAAAATCACAGGGTTGCAGTCCATATCCATACATTCGGATAAGTCCCAAACCGAAAGAACTACTATACTGCAGGTTTGAATCAAGTCAGAAAGCTCTGTGTAACCATAAAATATTCTACTTTATTTTTAAAAAGATGATCAGTTTGAGTTAGTAAAGTAGCCACCTTTAGATGATCTACTATCTTGTAGTAAAGCTTCAGACTAGTACACAAAATTTGGAGTTTGGAATTGTTTTAAACTACAGACATTTTTTTTTTTCTTCAGAATGCTGTTTATTAGGGAGAAATAGGTTCTAATTCTGCCTTTTACTGCTGTGTTTTCACAGTGACTGGTAGAGTGTTTGGAGAACTGAAACAAAAGCACAGATTGCAGTGGCAGTAAAATTGATTCGTTTATTAATATACTCTTGAATATTAATATACTATGAAACTATTTATTGCTTGGTTTGAAATGAGAATTTAAATGTTATCTTCATTATGACTGTTTTTATTCTTTGCTCTTAACATCTTTTCAAGCAGTTTTCAGTGAATTTCCAAATTGTAGTTCTGTAGACCCTTATGAAATACACAACACAGAAGGGCAGGGGCAGACAGTGGTTTATTTTTGGGAGGGGATGTGTTTAATTGGAGCTTAGCTTCAAGTGTGGGCCATTTCCAATCTGGCCAGCACCGTTGCAGCCAGTCAGTGCTCCTCCCTGTCAGTGCTGCCACTGCCACCAGTCATTTCTCCTTGTTGCCACGCAGGCTTATTTTGCCTGGGATCATTTGACCCCAGCAGACTTCTTGCTCCTTGGGCAGGGGGCTGGACCCGATGATCTTGTGAGGTCCCTTCCAGCCCTAATATCTATGAAAATCCTTCATGTCAAAGCCCACTGACTGCTGAAATTCCCCAGGCTATGGGCTGCCGAACCCTAGTAGGGCATTATTTTTCTTCAGCAATTGAATAATCTTGTTGGGCAAGTTATAATGCTGCATCCTGTACCTCCAGAGGATAAATGTAGTTCTGGTTTTTTGTTTATCAGGGATTATTTCAAGCGAAGTATGAAGTTGTAGTAAGCACTGGAGTCCTTGGAAGAGGGCTTGATCTTGTCAATGTCAAACTGGTAGTAAATTTTGATATGCCCTCGAGTATGGATGAATATGTGCATCAGGTAAATATATCTGTGTCTTAAGTATTGTGCAAGTCGCTTGTTAAAGAACAGTACAACCACGAGTATTTGGTTTAACCAGGTTTAGGTCTTATTAATGCATCCCAGTGGATTCTTACATTGTTGGTGTGCTAGCTCTACATATATTGAGTTTTGGCTTAGCCATTTATGGAGCTGATGCAATTGTCTGACCAATACTATAAGTAAGGCAAATTTCTCCCATTTAGAGGGAGACATT